GTGGGCTTTGTTGCTTCTGAGCTAGATGGCCGCTTGTTTACCTTCAAGCTTTTAAGACCCCAGACGCTATATCTTTTGATAGCCGGCTTTTCAACATTTTATAAAGGTCTTGTGAGCAGATCTGCTGAATGCAATATGTTGTTGGATTTCTTGACTGCTGCTACCATGAGCACTGACTGTGGAGCCAAGTAAAATTAAATTCTTGACAACTTCAAACTTTTCTCCATTTATCATGATGTTGCCTATTATGTTAGCCTGGGTACTTTAGAGAAACAAATCCACAGAAACTCATGTAGAAGAGGGAGTTTTATATAAAGGTTAAGTGTGCATCAAGAAAACCTCCAACCTAGTGCTGCCCAAGCCCACATGTCCAACATTAACCCATTAGTCCAACACCAATCCACAAAGTCCACCTCCATCTCACAAAATAGACGCAATGATGTCGACTGCAGGAGGAAAGCCGAGTCAGTGAATGTGTAAGCATCTCAGCGCTAGCCGGGGTCTCCTTATGGGTGCTCCAGCACCCAAGGGTGCATCGGGGTAGGTCCATGTAGCTTCTCCTCACGGATGTCTTACAGGAAGGAGCCTTGCCAGCTGAAGCAGGGAACTGGCTAAGGCAGCTGCACCCTGGTCCGACCATCAAAAAGCAGGAGACCCGAGATCTAGAAAGGTGAGGCTCATCAAGCCATTTATCTCTCCACCCTTCAATTAACCCCACATGTGTTTATCGGCCAGGTTGGCACAATAAACTAACTACCTCACCTATTGATCCAATTGTGGGGACTTTGGTTTTCTTTACATTGAGGTGCAATCCATAATTAATGCTGAAGTCCTGGATTTTTACTAGCAAGTGTTTCAAGCCCTCCTTTCTTTCAGCAAGCAAGAGCATGTCTTCTTAATAAGCCTTCCTCTAATCGTGATGCCCCATTCTTCATATAGTCCAGATTTTCAGATTATTTGCTCAGCAGACAGACTGAGTAAGTATGTTAAAAGAATACAACCCTGCCACATAACTTTCCTGATTTTAAGCCACAGACAAATTCTCCTTTTGTCTGGCTCTTGGTCCATCACGTATAGGCTCTCCTTGAGCACGATGAACTATTCTAGAATTCTCAGTCTTCACAATGTTGCCCAGTTTGTTATTTTGCAAACATTCACATGCCTTTATGTGGTCAATAAAATGCAAGTAAATTTCTTTCTTGTATTGTTTTCAGCCAAGATTCACCTGACAGCAATATTCCTTGCTCCATATCCTTTACTGAATTGAGGTTGAATTGACTGGCCAGTGCAGCCAATGTGCTACTATAATCACTTTTGAATTACCTTCAGCAAAATTTTACTTGCATATGTTATTAGTATTGGTTAATTCCCCATGTATAGGTGTTACGAACTATGTAATACACACATACCTGCCAGTCATTCTTAGTACAGTGTCTTTTCATCTTAAACCTATCCTACTTTACGGCTAACTACTGCAATCATACCTACTATGCCCTGGAGCACTTTTCCAACACTTCAATACAGGCTTTACTTGCTTAAACCAGAATCTTCTTCAATTAAGAAGCTCATTTCTTCCTGAAACAAAATCTGTTCCCCTTCTAAGAGATATTTACAATTGGTTTTACTGTCTTCTCCTCCTTATTACTATTCATCTTTTACCAAAGGAAGAAAAGCACTGGCTAGTCCTCTCTACCCAATCTCATTCTCCTGAGTTTTCCAAATCCTTGTGTCACTATTGGTCATGTGATCCTCCACTATTACTTGTATCTCCAATTTATTCAAGTGTAGAGAGGATAATTATCGATCTTACCTCATGGCACACTTAAAGAAGTCCAGCTAGACATTGCGCTGCTAATCACAAGGCTGGAAGTTCAAACCCACAGCCATTTCACAAGACAAGGTTGTCTGTTCCCATCAAGATTACAGCTTTGGAAACGCTACGAAGCAGTTCTACTCTGACCTATAAGGTCCATGTGAGTCAGAATCAACTTATGGCAGTAAGTTGGTTTTTAAATCACATCTTATAAAGCAAAGATCTGTGCTATAAGCCAGTGTAATCCTTATCAATTCTTAACAAAAAATACCTTCCAAAGAAAAAAATTCATACTTACTGCATCATGAGTACTATGTTATGTACTTTGATGGATTTAAGTGTACAGAAATCACTGTTAAAGAAAATAAATGGCATTATAAATATAAATTAGTTTAATTATTATTCTTCCTATGTTAAAATAAGATACTAAGAAAATATACTATTATGAGCCTATTTATTAAGCATTTTCTGTCCTTCAAATACTACTTCATATTCTGAAATTATGCTTCCATACTATTGTAGCTGTAGAATTATTTAAATTACTTATCTGTTTCACTCACAAGTTGAAATTCTTACATAATTACCTCCAAAATTCTAGATTGAAGTTCATATCAAAAGTTAATAAAAGTTTCTACTTTTTTTCAACATAACAGGAAATAGTAATGATTCATATTTAATTCCAAAGCTCCAGAATTTCAAATATTAAAGTTTCACACATTATTTCCATTTAAATCTCTTATACAAAAGTATATCAATAGATACATGAAACTATGGTTCTCATAAAAGTGAGTAAAAATAAAAGTGAAATGGTGTCTATGCTTCTACTACTGAAAGGAAAATGAATAGTTTGTGTATAAGCATAAAATCTTAATAAAAGATGATCAAAGGTCAGAATGATTAAAAAATATTATTTTTCACTGATAAAGGATTATGAAAAATTAAAAAAACACCATATTCTTTATACTTCATTATTTAATATAAGAAAGCTACTAAAAAAATTGGAACTTACTACATATAACTCATTTCTTCTGCTATAATAGTAGGTACTGTGTAATCAATCTGAAAGACAAAAAAGTGAAAATAATCAATAGACAAAGGGATCAAACATCATATAGTTCAGATACATTTTACACCTTCTAAGAGTTTAAGATTCTCTCTTTATAAACTTACTTCTTTGATTTCCTCTTTTTTGGGGATATAAAGTTAAATTTTTGAGAAATTCTCCTGCCCCTTTGCAAGTTATACAAAACTGACACTAGGTTAACTCTATGAAATTATGATTGAGGCTTACCTGTTTCATATCAAGTGGGCCAATATTGGTTATGTTACTTAAGCGTGCTTTTCCAATAACCGTTTTGGAAAACTGAACTTGTGCAGTGATGTTTTCAACTTCAACAGAATAATAGTTATTGTTCGTGATATTGAGTGTGTTCTGAAAGAGGAAAAAATTGTTGAAGTTATCTGAAAATATACGTAACACACACATATTCACATTAAAAAAACAGTGATTTCATTCTAGAAAGAAGGAAAGCATTGTCAGAAATTTTGAAAAACACCAAATGAACCTATCATTCATTTTTATTCTGAGTACTACACAAATATATAGACACTAAAATCCTATTGAAAAAACCAGACCCAGAAAATATAAAATATAGGAATATGGAAAAATGGATGTTAGAAAATGTTTTGAAGGTCTTAGTTAGCAAAAAGTTACTAATAAATAATTGCTAATATAAACAAATACCCATAGACTATCTTAGATGTTTCCTATTTCCTACTCTATCATATGATGGCTATTTGAAATGCCAGCTAGTACTTACAAATAACTTTGTTAGTTTAAAGGAAACTAGTATTCTAACTTATAAACTAGGAGAGATTTGCGTCAGCAAAGATGCGAAATGCTATAGATTTGAATTCCTTTCCTTGGAAAGAATTGTGTTCGCCTAATTTCTATACTTAGGCAATAGCTGGGTTGGGCATCTGGATTTACAATTCACAACTACTATCTCAATTACTTTAGAAAACTGTTAAGGAGGACAGAACAAAATGTAAGTCAAAAACCAACAGATGAAAAATATAACATCTGATGTACACTGGTACAGATAGGAACTGAAAATCCAGGGAATCCAGGGCGGATGAGCCCTACAGGACCAGTGGTGTGAGTGGCGAAACAGGGAAGGTAAAGGGAGAATGAGTAGGAAAGAGGGAACCGATTACAAGGAACTATATGTGACCTCCTCCCTGGGGGACAGACAACCGAAAAGTGGGTAAAGGGAGACGTTGGACAGGGCAAGATATGACAAAATACCAATTTATAAACTATCAAGGGCTCATGAGGGAGGGGGGAGTGGGGAGGGAGGGGGAAAATGAGGACCTAATGTCGGGGGTTTAAGTGGAGAGAAAATGTTTTGAGAATGATGTACAAATGTGCTTTACACAATTGATGTGTGTATGGATTGCGATAACAGTTGTATGAGCCCCTAATACAATGTTAAAAAAAAAAAAGAGACACTGCCCTAACCATTTTCCACAAAAAAAAAGAAAAGAAAAATATAACATCTGAAATGTTCAAAAGATAGTGTAATCAAAATCAAATAAGTACTAAAAGAAAAATCTGGAAGAAGTATTTGTGAGGCAAAGAATAATGGGTTACCATTTATAATAAACAATAAGTACACTTAAAAATTGAAAACAAGAAAAATCCTAATAGGGAAAAAAAGAAAAAAGGACACGATATGAGTACACAAAGTTAAAAAAGTAAGAAACCTAAATGGCTAAGAAACAAATCAAGGCAATTAAATGGCACACAGATGGGATAATATATATACTGTATAAAACATTCCACTGGAGAGGAAATCTAGTAGATTTCAAGAGACAACAGACCATTTTACTTGAGAAGAAATTAATAACAAAGTAACTTTAAATAAAGTGAATACACCTTATAAAAAAAGAGCAAAATCACAAAAACCTCATAAACAATAAAACAGAAGAGAGAAAAAAGGAAAACCAGAAGCAAAACAAAGAGAGAAAAAAGGAAAAACCACAGGAGACCCAGAGTAACAATGGATAAGTAAGCAAGACCTATCAATTCACTGCCTATAAGAAAAACATCATACACAAGGGCAAAACAAACTAAAATTCAAACAAACAAAAATGTCAAGCTAATAGCAATAATAATAAAGAGTGGCAATATTAATCTCAGGTTACATAATGAATAATGGGATACTTTAACAAGACATAACCAAAATAAACATCTATACATCCAATGAAAGACCTTCAAAACACATTTAATCAAACCCTGATAGTTTGGAAAAAACGACAGCGCTACAATAGTCAGGGGCTTCAGTACAATCCTCTAGGTCTAGGGGAAGACAGACCTAAGAACAAATGCAACAAAGATACAGAGGAAGGAAGCAACAAATCCAACTGGACCCCACCCAACAAGGAAATACACATTAATTTCATCACACTTGAAACATTCTCCATAATAGGTTGTATGTAGGTTACAAAGCCTTAATACATTAAAAAGTTAAGATTTGACACACTACAAAGATTTGCATTTTTCTAAGATCATGATGCAATAAAATTGGAAATCAACAATACGATGATCAAGAAAAATTGAATACATGAAAACAGAATATCACCCTGGGTAACTGAAGACAAAAGGAATGAAAAAATTTAAAAGTCCTCAGAACAAATGAGAATAAAAATATAACATACCAAAATCTATGTGGCACAGGTAACACAAAACTTGGGAAGCCAATTTATAGTCATAATAAACATCAAAAAAGACGAACCAACATCAACAATTTGACCGAACAACTAGAACAAGAACCTTCAACCACCAGATAAAGAAATAAAGATTAGAGTATAAATACATGAATCAGAAAACAGAAAAATAAAAACATGACAAAAAATTGGCTCTTTGAAAGGATTAATAAAATTGACAAAGCATTATTAGCAAACCTAATAAACGAAAAGGAAGAAAATATGCAAATACCACAAATAAGAAATGGACATTACAACAGAAGCAACTGAAATGAAACATGTTAACACAAAAGGTCTGTACTCCCGCAAATCTGAAAGCCTGAAAGAAATTAACAATGCTCTACAAACACACAGCATACCACATAAACTAGCAGAGTGGAAATAAGACCCATTAAAAAGAATTGACCAGGTCATTAACCCCTGACCACCCCCACTCCTC